TCTCATAAGCTCCTCACTGCTACCTACTCCCTCTCGAAGCATCTCAAAGCAGCAGTAATCTCCTAGGCTAAGGCATCACAAATCAGGCCACTCTAGTCCTAATATGAATACCTAGCCTACTCTAGCATGCATAACATATCATATCATATCTCGTAACACATAATGTAAGGGTATTTTGGGAAATCACCGTTCGGGCGCTGGCTGATCGTACACACTGCTTCCTTCTGCCTTTCTCAAAATCTTTTACTTTCTTAGAAAAATTGTTTATATTATGAAAAACTTTCTCAAATCCTCAGTATGAGTTCAGATTCATCCGAAGATGCACCCGAATCCCTCAAACCAAGGTTCTGATACCAACTTGTAATGACGTAAATTTCCAAAACAATTTTTCATTTTTAAATCATACTTTCAATCACAAAACATAATGTATCCACTGTGTCATAACAAAACATGTCCCAGAATCTCAAATACATAAACTCCATAAGTGTGTACGGATCATGCCGTCGCCTTCCCGCGATCCTCGCTAGTACCTGAAACACATAACATAACAACTGTAAGCATAAATGCTTAGTGAGTTCCCCAAGATACCACATATAACACATACGCCTTTCCAGGCCATAACTCTGTAGGATCTTCCGATCCATGTGTCTCAGGGGACTTCCGTCCCGAATCCCGGTAGACCTTCCGGTCTTACCCGTATCGACCTTCCGGTCCGTAACCTCTTGACCTTCCGGTCCATGTCATCTTGACCTTCCGGTCCATATCATCTTGACCTTCCGGTCCATACCATACATAACATACATAGCACATAACCGCGCATAACACATACATCTCATAGCATACAAGACCTTCCGGTCACACATAGGTACCCTTCCAGGTACAGTATAGTGAGAAGACTCACCTCAATGAAGTCGGATAAACTCTCGTGCTCAACATCCCGACCTAGCCTCCTCCTATTATTCAAATAACATTCCCGATCACTATTCTCTCATAATCTCATCTCTACAGATTGGGTAGAAGGCCATTCTACCCCTCTCTGAACTCTCTTGAATCAGTCTTGACCAGAACCCTAAAGTCAACGAAAGTCAACGGTCAAACTTTGACCCGACTCGTCGAGTACACAAAGGCGACTCGGCGAGTCCATGTGGGTTCTCTGAATCCTTCTAGCCTCTCTTGGCTCGTCGAGTCATCGTCTCACTCGACGGGTTACACCTGTCACGAATCGCGGGGCAACCCCGACTCGACTCGTCGAGTCCCATTATGGACTCGGCGAGTTGCATCCATGGCAACACTGAAATGACCTTCTGAGGTCAGATCTACTTCTCTAACCTCTAGATCTGGCCTTCCCAACCACTATAATCACGTAAAGGTCCGACCTTTACACTCATGCAATGTCCAATAAGCTTCTTTGGGTGAAATAACCTCTAGAATGGCAACCTAGGGTCATATCTCTAATGGAGTAGCAAAAAGCAAGGTAGATAGGACTCTCTAGACCTCTTAAGGTCCAGATCTAAGAAGAACTCCACCTTGGGACCTCACATACTTCGAATCCAAGCCAAAGAAGGCATAAGAAAACCTTAGATTCAAGTAGATCACCAAATACACGAGATTGAGCACAGATTAGTACCTCTAGCAGCCTCTTCTGATCAAATGGGTGATAGATCTGAGCTCCTCAATCTTCCTTGTTTGTCCTCCTTCCTTCTTTCTTGCAAAAACACACTTAGAATGATGAATTAGCCCTCCTCTTGCACTACAAGCTTTCTCTTTGCTCTCTAGGGTTTCTCAGGGGTGCATTGGCCGCAAATGGAGGCTATAAAGGCCTTTAAATAGGGCACAGACCCCGAGAATTAGGGTTTCACTTTACAGCGCGGACTCGCCGAGTCCACGCATCGACTCGTCGAGTCCTTCATTAAATCAGACAATAAATGCGTGCTCCTACTCGGCGAGTCTAAGCGTCTACTCGCCGAGTCCCTCCATAAAACTCAAGATAAATGAACTTTATAGCATACCTGGAAATCCGGATGTTACAATTAAGATCTATGATTTTTTTTGAAACAACATATGATTAAAGGGTTAGCAAAGAGCTAAAACTCAAAAGAGAAAGAGATTACACATAAAAGGAATTGATTGGATTTTTTAGCCAATCAACCCAAGTAACTAAAAAATTTCGATTCATATTATAAAACCAATTAAAACTAAAATCTCATATTGTATAAAAATCACCTATTTTCTAAGTTTCTTCTCACCGAACACCATATCATTTTTAAAAAACCACAACATCCACCAAGTAGTATTTATAATCGATTCAATTGCATGTAGTTTCGCATTAATTTTAAAAAAAAGGTCAAGTTTGCGTGTCATGGTCAATGAAACATCGTGCACACATTCATGCTGAAATAACAATATACTAAGTTATTATAATAGAATCATAGAGGTCTATTCTGGACAAGGTAATCGTATTTCAGACATTTTATTACATTCCAGACAAGTTCATTGCATTTCAGAGAAGTTAATTGTGTATCAGACAATCATTTAGCATTTCAGACACGATATTCTACCAAACTAATTTTTAATAAAGTACCAACCTACTATGTATCTACCGTTAATGTGTGAGGCATACTAACCTACAAGGCTACAACGTATTTAAAACTAAAGTAGTTAATGTTTCAGACTAATTCATCGTATTATGGATTAGAGCTTCCATTTCGGATGATTTTTTCCATAACAAATCATGAAAAAAATGTAAAGAAAAAGGTTTAAGCAAAGAATAAAATACTTGGTAAATTTGGACCTCTACACCATTTGTTTCAATGTTCGTACAATTGGAGAGCGTCTAAAATGCTATTTTGGGATGTGGTGGATTCCATATTATGAATTTTCTTTAAATAGGCGGAACACTTACACATGTGGGTAATGACACGGACAGATCTCCGGTCCCGAATGACTTGTTATAGAGTTATTGGTTATTTTTTTTAAATGCATAATTATGGGTTGTTTTCTTTAGTTATCAAGTGATGTCCAGCCTAGCTGGGTTGATGCACCGGTTTTATACCCATGTGGGGCGTGAGGTCGGAAGTTCTATTCCCTTAAACTACCTCTTGTGGTGCCACATGTGGGGAATTTTTCCCTGGAAATCCCTATGGGGGCTGGGTTTGCCCTGTAAAGGAGCTCGAACCCGGGGTGCTCGTTGAAATATTGCGAGTAGGCTCTACTTAATTCGTTTGCCGTTTCCAAAAAAAAGTCAACAATCAATATTTTGTTGACATCCCTAATAATTGTTATGTAATCACAAAAAATCCAAAAAAATGCAAGGTTATAAACTGGTTTGACCGACTTTTTATACTTATGAAAAATAATCATCTATTTTTTCAACAATATATTTGTGATTTGCGAACACTACTTAACCTTTTGATTTTTTTTATAAGTGATTAAACTCCTTTTTGCAAATTCTAGCAAGAGCTCTATCCAACATATTCAACCATTTTAGATTTTATCAAAACAACTTTTGTATGAAATTACATCAAATCAAGTGAGTATTCTACAGTTACTAGTATTTAACAACACATGTTATCGACATCAATAGGGCCTAGTTGTAATCATATGGTATGAAACACTCTAAAATGGAGTTGACCTATGTCTGAATGATATATGTTTCAACTTTGGGTGGCTTGCCATTAAAAAAGAACAACACATGTTGATTGTTTGTTGATTCCGTTCAAATCTACATCTTGCAAATTTAGAATATTTTGCCAAAACCTAAACGAAATATGTTTTAAATGTCTATTTCCATGTTTTACTTGGTTGATCTAGGGATATTAAACATGTTTGGTCATTATATACATCTCTCATTATGCTAATTAACATTAATAAAACATATATTATGTTTTACAAAAAGACACGATATTCAACGTGGTTGACCTACGTCCACATGGAAAGAATGAGTATGTCTCACTCACGAGATTAAACGGAGATAAACAATACAAGTACTATCGATATAGAATGAAGACTCTCTGAAAGGACCACAATTTAAATACCATTTAGCAACCTTATTTATAGACCGAATATGAGACATAAAACTCTAATAGACAAGGCTCATCCATTCGTAGGCCCAAATAGATATCAACCAATCACAATATGTCATGCTCTAAAAAGCACTTATGCATTCTTGAAGTTCCTACTCATCCCAACGCTTCATGCACTAGCACAATGTTTTGGCCACGCTGGAGCGCATTTGGCTTGCCTCCACTGCATCTGGCCAAACGCTCCGGCCCTAATCCAAATGCTCCGAAAGACCGTTACGTCTTTCAGGTCTTCAATTTTCAAATCATATTTTAGAGTCTAGTTGAAAAGAATCCACTTATACTATGGTTAATGAAAGCAAAAGAGCCCCGTTCCTCAAAATTTAATATGTGGGTTAAAAAAACAGCTATCAACTCATAAAGATAAGGTGTAGCTGTGTAGCTTCATAAAGGTAAGGTGTAGCTGTCTAGAGAAATTTTGAAGACGAATAATATTTAACATCTCCCAGTTTACTTTCACTATTAAAAATTTGTTTTCTCTAGAAATTAGAGAGGGAGAGTGTAGGCGAGGATAGGGTTGTTTGTACTGTTTTATGATTTCTGTAAAGTAACATCTTTTCTTTTCATTAATTGATTGTAGATGTTGGTTGTTTGTTGACAAAAAATTTGCCCCATTTATAATACGTTCAAGTCTTTACAGACCCCGGATATTTTTTCAGCCAAAAAAGACTTTTGATGCAAACTTTAAAAACAAAAGCATTCACATTTGACAACAAAATAAAACTACCTTGATATTTTGTTGCTAACAAACATACACAATGACAAGTTCCTTCTATAATCCGATTCCCGGATTTTTATTCACAGGAGAAAGAGATACATTTACACCACAGGCTGTGAAAAGGATATACATGATTAGAGCGCGAATGCCATTAACAAAACTTGGTGCCACGTCAGCTTTGATCCTTCCAACTGTCCACCTCATCATTTAATCGGATGGTACTGATCTGATACTCGCCTTGGTGGCAGTTTTCGCAAGATGAAAAGAACAAGAGCAGCTGGCAAAATCTCCACTACCTACATACATAACCACAAACACAAACAAGCTGAGGAGGGCATTTACGTCTTTTTCTGTGTCCCAGGTGTCGATAAACTTACCATGTAGTATGCAAAATCAAGGATAGGGTGGTTTAGAACATGCATGTCAGCATTTTGGTCAAATGCAGCGATTGCAACCTATTTCAACAAACCAATCAGCTCATCGCTTGTAAATAAATAAATAATAATGGAAACTTGGGTTTATATGAATTATGTATGTAAACTTACCATCACACATCTTATTAAGAAACAAGTACAGCAAATCCCAGTCACAAATCCCACCTGTAAAAAAACCCACATAAGGGTACAAATGGAAATTTCATTCAAGGAAGTAACCAAAGAGGTAATTACTAATTAGAGATGTAACCTCATGCAACTTCTTTTGGCGCCCTCTTGATTCAATTGGAAACCTCCTTAGCATTACAAACAACCTATGACAAGAAACAATCACCATGTGAAATGAATGCCAAAATAATAATAATAATAATAATAATAATCTATAACAAATTAACTACCTTCCACCATATACAATGAACCCTACAGCAGCACCAAGTGAGATAACTGAAAAGAACAGCTCAGCGATTTCCACAGCAGCAGCAGTTTTGCTGAATCTCATATACATCCAGATGCATATCTAAAATTCATCATGTAATATCAAACTGAAGCAGGGTGGCAGTGGGGGTAAATTACAAAAATACCCTTGAAAGTATTTTTATCCTACCTGAAGGACGTACACAATTCCATTTATAATGAAGTATGCAGGTCTGAGTTTATCAGTTGGAAGACTTCTTGCCTGAATTTTGGAAGATGGATCCGCATGACATTAACAAAATTAAGGTATATGTAATATCAACTATAAAAGATGAAGATAAAACTATGTCATTGTCATTGGTGAAATGTAAGAAAATAAATATTAATACCTGGTGATATATCTCAGCCCAGAATAATACAAGTAATGTGTACGTTGAGAAAAACAAAAGGCCAGGAAGATCCAACAATATCATGTCTAATACCTGTAAGCATCATGATAATAACACCATACTATTGCTATAAATAGCAACATCATTTCTTTATAGCTATAATTGGGTAATAGGAAGAGATGATAAAGGTCGATGAAGATGCATAACATGAACTTACTTTTGGTTTTGTGTGGAAAACCCTCCAGTAGAATCCAAATTGAACAGCTCTCACTGAAAAAAAAAGGCATAGAAATATACAAACATCAGGTAGACTTGCAAAATATTAGTCATTCAGAAATGTAAGAAAATGAGTAGCAACCTTACATCCATTGACCACAAAATTCATCAAGTGGAAAACCTTTTGTGTTGTCCAACCATATTCAGGTACTCTCATTTGAATTCGAACAAGTTGCACCTGCATATTCAGTATAAATGTATAATCATCCACTTTTGATGCATAATAATTTGTTTTTGTCCATTTTTTGTTTGAAATTTTATGTTTTCAGGTGTGAACTCTGTAACAACATTGAATTAAAACATTAGAAACCACCAAAAGAGTTTAGACACTCTAACCCTAATATCAAGGTAGAAATTATGAACTGCAATTCACTGTGTTCAGATTCTAATCATAACTTTATGAATAGATATGGGGTACTAGTACTACCCCCTCCGATTTTTTAAAGTATCAAAACAGCTTTGAATCTAAAGGTATTCCTAATTCAGATTGCAGGAGCAATGATCACACAAAAAACAGCCACGAATCATAACACATAACGCCTCAATCAAGAAGAATTTTAGAAAATCGCTTTATCTAGTTAGGTCGGAGGAATTCGCCTGTTAAATTTATTTCTGTTTTGAAATTAGAGATAAAATTCCATTCCTATTCGGATTTCTTGTCAAACTACAAATTAAGTAGCATTCCTAGTCCTCTTCTGAATCGAAAGTCCTATATTACATGTTAACTTACAAGAATCAATACGATAAAAGTCGAAAGGAATCTCTAATTTTAGAACCAAGGAGTAAAAATCACTTAATCGAATCTATCAATTTCATTCCAACTCGAGATCTAACAATCAAAGAACATACCAGAGCAATCAGAGAGACGAGTGCATAAGCAGCACAGAGAGCGTAGAACACGCCTTCCTGCCATTTCTGGGATCCGTCGACCCCATTCCACCATTCATTCAACAGGTTTATGCCACCCGTGAAGCTCTGTGTATCTGCTATATATTTGAACCATATGAGACCCTTCGTACTGGGAGATGACGATGCCATTAACGATTCCAATTAATCTCGTTCAAGGAGTGGAGAAGAACAAGAAAGATATTAGCGTAGCTCCACAGCGATGATAAAGCCGGAGGAGGGGGGCAGGTGGCGGAGGACCGGAGTGAACACGTTAGGAGATTGATGCCAAAGATCACACGTGTCATTAATATAAAATAGTTGGGTTTCATAGGATATCAAATTAAGAAATAATTATAAATTTAAGACAAAATTATGTGATTGGTCCTTTGTTTCTCAAAATAGCCACAATTAACAAGAGTTCAATAAGGAAAAATCTATGGCTTTCAGATGGCAGACTCTTCAAAATACGAGGTAAACACTCAACTTTTAGTCTAATAATGTGTTTGTAAACAACAATAATCAAAGCAAAAGCATACATAAAACAAAATCATTTATATTAATTTCAAGAAACTACAGTCAATGACTGACCCATGAAAAACCTTATTTTAAACCATACAAACATGGTAAAACTTATGTTAGGAAATTAGACGATACTTGTCAAGACTCATAACAAATCTGATGTCACTTGCCAAGTTCTTATGACCCTTGTTAGGAAGTAATGCGGATAACAAGCAAACTGAAAGCACACAAAGACACAATATTTACGTGGTTTGGTCGAGGTGACCTACGTCCACGGGCAGGAGGGAAGTATTTTTTATTTCAGAGTTCTCAAACAGAGCTTACAAGTACAATTTAACAAAGATTCGCCTATCACTCTAGAATACAAGACACCCAAATGACTTAGCATGCATCTCTATTTATACTTGAGAGATCAGACCTAAAACCCTAATGGGCCAAGCTCATTGGCCCATGAATGGTGTCAACCAATCACAATCCACCATGCAGTAGCTTCTAGAACATTCATCCATGACATACAACACATGAGTATCAGCAACGCACATGATGGAGCACCTTGTGCCATAGTGGAGCATCCTGATGTACAAGTGGCTCATCATGAACACTAGTGGCCCAATATCCATCATGGTGACACAACATGGTGTATTCCTTGAGCATCACCAAATCTTGAGCATCATAGAGGACTTCATGACTCATCAGTGATATCATGGCTCATCATGGAACCAAAATGTAACGCCTGTGTTTCGAGGCTAAGTTTTGATGCGATGATGTAATAGTCTAGGTCAACAATTGTAACTCATTTTGAAGTAATAAAGATGAATTACTTGAATATTATGTGCTTATATACTTGTCTATAAAGATATAATAAATCAAGAATGAAAATAAGCATCAAAAATAAAATGTTAGATAAACCCGATATCTATGAAGAAAGGTGTAGTGTTCGTGACAAGGATTCTGGAGATATAAAGAACGTCGAAATCCGAGTTATAACGAAGAAATTATGGTCTGTCGAAGTTTCGCGACAGAACCGGCACGACACTGCATGACGTAAATAGTGAATTTACGATAGAGGACTTTTTAGCCCTAGCGATCTAAAAGAAAGTCATAGGGTTCGTTAAACCGAGAGCGTGCATAAAAAGAACGCCCAAATTTGACTTCGTATGAGGAAGTTATGATTTTTCTAAGTTTCGGATCGGTAGTGCACAACCCGAAGTTCGAATTTTAGATCGAGCGATTTTTAGCCGACACAACCTAAATGAGAATTGAAGATCTCATTAATAGGAGTTCAACGATAAAAAGACAGTCGAAAACGGAGTCTGTATGTAGAAGTTATGAATTCTACACGGTCGTTTAGCAGTGTAATCTTCTCATACTGTTAAATTTAAAATTCGGTCGAGAATTATCCGATGGAGTTTAAATAAAAGTTGTAGAGCATGTCCCCACCTATGTGTGGATATAAAGAACGTCAAAAATCGGAGCTAGTATGCAAAAGTTACGGGATTTAGAAGTCGGCAGGGTGCTGCAGCGAAATGGGTGACGTGGCGCAATCTGAGCCATTGCTTTCTCTACACCAGATGGCGAAACGTGGCACCGACTCGACGAGTTGGGGGTCAGAAACTCGACGAGTTGGGCCAGAAACTCGACGAGTTCACCCCATTTTCAGCCTATAAATACCAACCGAGGCCAGCCTTCATCCTTCACTCCTTCCCCACTTCTTTCTCTCTCTACATACTCTCTAAACCTCCCAAAACACCCCCAGACTCTGCCCGAGAAAAAGAGTTTTTCGGTTTGAAACTCTGCCCGCACAGAGCCCGGTTTTCAAGCAAACCTCCCGGTTTCATCAAAGAAGATTATTTTAAGAAGCGAAGTGCTGTCCGAATCACCCCCTTATCAAGTGAGTGCATGGTCACTTTCATCTTACACATAGATATGAAGTATTTTATATAAATTACGTGCTTTGTGTGTGTATATATATATATATATATATATATATATATATATATATATATATATATATATATATATATATATATATATATCTATTATATTACCTTACCTGTTTACCTGAGATGTATGCTGGATGAAGATCTATACTTCTTTCTTTTCGGATCTGAACTTTATCTTTCAGATCTAAACTTTTTCTCTTGGATCTGAAACTTTTCCCTTCAGATTTAAACTTTCTCACTTCAGATCTAAATTTTTAGATCTAAACTGTTATATTGTATTTGTACTTGAGATCTGTGCTGGATGAAAGATCGAAGCTTCTTTCTTTTCAGATCTGAACTTTTTCTTCAGATTTAGACTGTATATGTATTTTATGCTTTGAAAGTTATGCTGGATGAAAGATTTAAACTTTGTTTTTTTTTCCAGATCTAGACCTTTTTTTTCAGATCTGAACCGTATATGTATTTTCTTTACAGATCTAAACTTTTTCTTCAGATCTGAACTATATATTTGTTTTATATCTACTAATATGTTGGGTAGAACATGGGTAGAACATGGGTAGATGAAATAGGTTGGTGTGTGATGAAAAATGAGTTGGAGGATGAGATGAAAAAGTGATATAGATCATGAGATGAGGGTGAGGGGTGAAAAATGAGAGAAACCTTTATCCAAACGATGGCCCCGTCATCTAGCAGAGTATGGATGGCAACCATGGACTATTCTAGACGGTCCGTGGAACACTAGCATGCTCGCAACCTGTAGGTGTTGTGAACGATATGTTCACCCGATTGTCACACCCCCGAACCGTCAGAACGGACGGCGGAAACGTCCGGGGGCGGGTGACGTCATGCGTAGTATCACAACAATCGTATCATAGTAATCACAGTAAACACAGCCATTACATTATAATATGAATATTTACATTGTTTGAAAACATAGTTTGTTCACATCAGTATATAACAAAAGTAAAAGACGTGACTCCAAAATGCTCCGTTTTCTCCAAAAGTTAGCAAAAGTACCTGTCTATTGTTGCCCTAAGAATACAAGCAGTTTTAAAATATCAGCATAAAGCTGGTGAGTTCATAAGCGTTTAGTTCTGGTGAAAGAAATGTTTCTTTGATCCTTTGAAAAGTGTTTCCCAAGAAAATCCTATATTTTCTTATGAAAGATGTTTGATTGTCCAATAGTTGTATGTTAAACAGTTCGTTTATGAAAGGTTGCGTTATCCCAGGAAAATCCTATATTTTCCTTAAAAGTTGACAGTTGGTTATCTGTTCTTGTCTGAGGTGTACAAGTATCTACCATACTTGTATCGTTAGATGTAGTTTCCTTGAAAAACCCTGTTTGCTCTCTGTGAGGTGTATTAGCCTTATTACATAAATAAAACTAATAAATAAGTGGTGAACTAAATCCTAAGGGTATTATTAATACCCTCTAGTAATCAAATCGGTTATTACTTTGAGGTTAGTTCACTTGTTTCATTATTACAAAAGTAACTTCTATTATCTAGGTTGCGAGTGTCATAACCGTACTTAGACTTGATATGGCACGTAACGGGGCCGGTATCTTTTTATGACTTTGTCACCCGTAGACCTGATGGTCCCACTGTAGCTAGCAGCGAGGTGCGGGATAGTCATTCCCGTATAGATCTATACACAACAATCACGTTCTCCCTACAAGAGATTCTGGTTACAAGTGTTAGTCCTACACTCTTGAATTCGGTGGGAGTGTTACCAAGGACGTGTCTCCAACTTTAGACTAACAATTTGCATGTAATAATACCGAAGGTCCTGTTTATGATTTGTATGAATTCTATATAAAATATTACATTTTATGACAAGATTCACAAGTTCATTGCTTTAGTTTTAAAAACTGTTTCTATGAGTTGATTTCTTAATCGTTTGGTAAAACTGCTTTCTGTGTTAAGGTATACTGGAAATATAATTATCTTAAACAAAATAATATATTTTGAGCACAAGTCTCCTTGTACTTTTGCTTGTATTCTCCCCCTGAAAACATGAAAAACTCGGAAAAAGTGTAGGGCTATGAACTCACTGTTTGACGAGGGATTCGAGTGTAATTTGCTAGGAATTGTTGAGTGTCAATTGAAGCCTCGGGCACAAACGGATCCTATTTAGCATGTAAAAGTACATATATGCATTAGGTGAGGGCATAACACTAGTTGTTATGGAAAGAACCACCTTAGGGACTAGGAAACACTTAAAACTAAGTGTTAGAATCACATATGATTTGAAAATTGGGAGTTTGCGGTCGTAAAAGGAGTGTACGGTCAAGGGTTTGTGGCCCAACAGGGTTTACGGCCCATATGTTTACGGCCCAAGTGTTTGCGGTCCATGGGTTTACGGCCCATGGGTTTACGGTCGTAAACACTTGGCGAAAGGTGCGATTTTCGGTGTTTCAAGGTCCTTTCTAGCCTTCTGGAAGTGTCCTAAGCCTCGTGCCCAGTTCAAGGAAGAGTTTAAAGGTCAATAATCGACCAAAAATGGAGTTTACGGCCATTGAAGGGAGTACGGCCATAAACACTCAGTTCATGCTTTTCAGGTCGATTTTTAGGCGAAAATCGATGGTTTCTAGTAGATATCAAGTACAGATGGTAGTTACTTACTGTTAAGAAGCTTGGAATGAGGTTTTTAGCCACTAAGAACTAATGTGTGTTCTTGGTGAGATAG